CGATTTTTTGGAAAATCGGCTGACTAAGCCGGCTAAGTCGATAAAAATCGACTATGCGAAATCGACTACAAACACTACCAAAATATTTTTAAATCTTACTATAAATAAATATTCTTTACTATAGGGTGTGTGCTATTTTGGGACATGCATAAGTGTTATTTCGAAACTATATATATTAATTTTAGGGGGTATGATTTTTGAAATAACGCTCATGAACATTATTACACAAAAATACAGTACAATATTTTTTTAATGGTCGCTCTGGATTTTTCTAATTTAATGATAATTGAATGAAGTAAATAAGTAAATAAAATATTTTACATGTTTGTAATAATCTATTTGTTTAGAATCATGTGAAGTTTTTAAAACATCTAACAATTGGCATAACATCAAAAATACAAAATTAGACAATCATCTACAATGGTACCACGCACACTAGCACGCATTATCATTATTGACAATAATATAACAATTAGCTCGAACATCATAAGCAATAATGCATCTATTAATTATAGTGTTTTTTTTGACACTTTGGTATTTAAACTATTACTGTAGATAACAATAAGAATTAGAGTATCTGGAATTCTATAATGTATAAATCTGCTCGCTCTAAGAATATTTTTTGTATTATCTCAGTAATCTAAATATGAATTTAATTATTTTTTTAAAAACCAAATACAATGCAAAAAATATTTTTAGATCGAGCAGATTTAAGCATCGCAAAATTCTGGAACTTTAATCTATAGCAATTGTTTGCAATAGTTTAAATATCAATTTTGAAGTGTCAGCAGAATGAAATTTTTTTTACATTTTTGTTCGTGGTAATTGTTTAATTATTGTAGAATGCTTGATGATCATACATATTGTTGGATGCTTTAAAAAAAGTAATAAAAAAATTTTCGGAAATTTTTTATTTAAATACACCAATTAGATCCAGATTATGAAACAAGTCTGTTCGTTTGAATTTATTTAAAAGAAAGAGATATCTCAATATAAGATTTACCACGAATCTAAAAAAACTTCCATCTAAATCTCACTATAATGTGTCATATTTGTAAAAACGAAATTCTATCTGTTACATTATCAGAAAATGATTATAAAAAATATTGTTAAAAATTACCAAATTCCTTAAAACAGGGTGTCACCTTTTCTAATAAGTGGAAAATTCATAATGAATTAAGAGATATTAGAAAAACAAATCTATTTTAAAAGAATTTTTTACAGCTGCCCGGTGTTATACCAATAGTATGAATTTTAATTTTTTTTATTTTTTCTATTAAATTTTAAATTATTAGTTAATAATAATTGTTATCACTACTAAGGGCTTGAATCAAAGATGGTGAAAAATGTCAAGGGTAAATTAATAGCAGAATCGAGTTCATATTAAGATCAACAGAATCCAAATCAGAACCTAATTATACTTGATAATAAATCCTTAATTGAAGAATATCAACTGAGTAATTATTCGGAATCAATAGATTGTATTCAAATATTAGTTAATCAAACTTCTGAAGAATATATTTCGATTTCAAATCAAATGGTTAATCAAACTTCTGAAAAATATATTTCGAATTCAAATCAAATGGTTAATCAGACTTTGAATGAATATTATCCAGATCAAACTCCAAATCAGCATTAGCGCCAATCGATTTTTATTTGTTCTAATAATAACAATAATCAAGATAACAACAATAATAGAAGATTTAACTGGCAGATTGGAGTGGCTATTGTTTCGTTAGTATTAGTTTGCTTATTTATTATTAAAGCAATTAAAAAACTTAATCTAATTAATTATCATTGTATTTTTAACCCATTTTTATTTAAATAGAATTATCTGAATAATGTTAGTATTAATGAAGTTTTAACATATGTAAGTATATTTGTAATGTCTTGCTGATATTTCTGTATATAAACAAATCAATTCTAATTATATTGCATTGTTATTAGTCTAACGAAAGATTATTTGATATTATAGAAACCAAAATTTTTGATTATGTAAGCATTCTTCATATTTATTAATAAATAAACATAATTATTCTAATTATCATATAGGACCCCCCACAGCAAAAGAGGGCAGTAGGCCAAAAAATTTTTTTTTATTTTTAATTGATTTCTTGAAAAATTAGATTGATAGAAAACCAATATTTATAGAATTACAAAATTAAAATTTTTGTTCCACTGTCCCCTTTTGCTATAAGGGTCCCCATATATTGTATAGAGAAATTTTTGGAATACAAGAACCCTCGAATCAGAGAATACAAATTTAAAGGTAAAAAATACGGCACTTGAATCTGAAAATACAAATTTAAAAGTAGAAAATGCGGAACTTAAATCAAGAAACGTAGCTCTCGAAAAAAACAATGCGGATTTTAAATCAAGAAACTTGGCCTTTGAACAAAGCAATGTGGACCATAAATCAAGAAACTCTGCTCTCAAACAAGACAATGTGGAACTCAAATCAAGAAATGTAGTTCTAGAAGAAACCAATTTGGACCTTATAACAAAACTTATAGTTAGCAAAAAAGAACTTGAGACCGTCAAAGAAAGTAATATAAATCTTAAAATGAAACTTACTAAGACTGAAGATGAACATAAGGCTTTTAAAACAAAGCTTGAGATTAGTGAAAAAGAATGTCAAGCTTCCAGAAAGAACATTGCAAAACTCAAAACAAGACTTATAGCCATTGAAGATGAAAATGCATCTCTTAAAAAAGGTCTCAAAGATTTAAATATGCAAAAAATGAAAGATGATAAAATAAGCCAAAAAAGACTAGATTCAATAATGAAACTGAAACAAAATTATCAGGAATAGCAAGAACTACTCGAAAAATTGAGGAAAGAAGAAAATGCTAAAAAATATGAATTAATAATGAGAGACGTGAATGAAGCTATAAATGAATATAATGGAGGATATTAAAGAGCTCGAAACTAAGAAAAATAGGTAGAAATATATAAACAAATGTTAAATAGAAATGCGTTTGCCATATGTATAATTCATGACTCATAATAATTTAGTATAAATAAATTTTTGTCATCAATAGCTTTAATACTGTTCAAAAATACTTTAGATTTTTTACTTAAGAGTCAGAATTTAGAAATTGATATTTACGTACAGACCTCTTTTTTTCTTGTCAACAGCCTCTACCTCTTCAAAATAATCCTCTTCAAAATAATCCTCTTCAAAATAATCCTCTTCAAAATAATCCTCTTCAAAATAATCCTTTTCAAAATAATCCTCTTCAAAATAATCCTCTTCAAAATAATCCTCTCCTCTTCAAAATAATCCTCTTCAAAATAATATTCAACTCCAGTATTATATTAACCAGCTTCAACATGATTTATACATATTAACCATCATCAAAATTTCCGTTATATTTGAAATAATTTCTCAACTCATTAAAATAATCAACCACATAATTAAACATAAAAACATAAATATGAACATTCACATCAAGAAATAATTAATTCAAATAATTTTTTTCTTTTATAAATGAAATTATTTATTATAATTTAATTTATATTATAATCAATTATTTTCAAATATACGTATTTGATAGTTAATTCCAATTTTGTTCTTTTTAAATTGAATCTATTTTTATTTCACTTTATTCGTCTCTTTAGAAGTAGTTCTTTGGTAGTTCTTTTTAGTAGTGATTTTTCTTCTCTGTTTTTCATTCGTTGCTTTAATAGTGTTAGTACCTTTGTCTTTTGTCATTTTGACAATTCTTTTATAGTTTTAGTAGTTTTAAAGTTTTTTTTTTTTTTTCTTTTAATTTTATCATTCTTGTTTTATGTATTTATGCAAATATTAAAATAAAATATTGCAGTATTGAAAATTTTTGAGGAGGCATCTTGTAGAATTTATTTATAACTTTAAACGAAAAAAGTTTCATAAACTACACAATTTATAACTCAAAATAAAAGGGGTTCACAGTTGTATAAAATTTTAATTAGTAAATGTTGCAACATTTTTAAATTCTGTATCTTTTAGCTATATTTATTTAGATTTTGTACAGTATAAAATTCCAATGGGATTTAAGCATCTAGTAACGGGGTTATATCTTTTAAAGCTAAAAATTATATAATATAAATCGGTGCCATTCATTTCACCAACAGTCATTTTATTGAAAGTTCATTTAGCAGACATGGTTAGATTAACATTTTGCTATTTCTGCATAATCTGCTTAACCAATTACAATTGAAAAGATTGATTAGTAATTATTATTATTATATAACTAATAATAAAAAGTTAATATCTCAAAACAAGAGAACAATTAGTCGTCAAATATCTAATTTATGTACATACAGTTTATACAATCGATAAACTTAAATTTTCTTGCTTAAAATAATTAAATTTGTTTAGTTAATTATTGTACAGGTCTGACGTAACAACCCATGTGTCACCTTTACCTCAATAAAAAGCTAGTTTTAATATTATTGTCATGAAATATTAAATACACGCATTAGATAACAGCGTAAATAAAAAAAAATCTTAATTCTTTCGTGCAAAATATCAAACAATTGAATCAAAGTTCAAAATCTCATTCATAAGAATTTTTTTAAAAAAATAAAAGCAAAAACATAATTATATATAGCCATATCCAAATGTTTTAAAGAAAGCGAAAAATTTAATAACAATTTTGTTCAGTGAAAATTTTAAAAAGCAAATAAAACAAAATAACATATAACTAAGCCTAATTAGAATTTAAAGAAAGCAAAAACTTAATAATGTGCAATCCGCCCAAAAAGAATTTTATAAAACTGTCTAATAAAGAATTTTAGAGAAATTGAAAATCTAAAAGCGAAGCAATAATGTATGAAAATCCAATAAATAAAGAATTTTAAAGAAAGAAAAGATCTAAAGTGAAGATCTAATAATGTATAACTTGCTCTATTTTAAGTTATATAAGTTATGTTCTTTAATAACCTTAATGCTGGCTAAATTTATTCTGGCCGGCATTAATACTAAAGCTGGCCTGCTTGATTATGATATATGAGGTTTTGTAATGTAATTTACAATGTAACATTGTCATATAAGTTATTACAACCCTAGCTAATATCAATTTTAATAAAATTAATGCATACTTTCCAGCCTGTATTTATGGTCTTATAGAATGTGATCATATTTGTAGCGAGAATTTTCTATTTGCAAAAGCATCCACTGATGTAGCAATTCCCGACAACACATTTAAGGATGTATTTAAAAACTTTGGATTTTATTCGATTCAGTATATCAAAGTTTTTGGTAAGATTGTTAGGCCGGCATTATGTAGAAGCTCTGTTCATGTGATCTTATTTCTGCCTACGTTAAGGCAGAGATAAGGTCATGTGAATCAACCATTAAGATTCATATAATGATAACTATTACAACACTACACCTATATAGTAATTTTAACCTCTTAAACCTAATAACCTTTTAGAAATCATCACTAGAAGTTTTAAATAACCTTCGAATTTTATTGTGCTACACGATCTATTTTATTTATTGTATGATTCATAAGAGAATGAATACTAGTAATGGTTCTTTTTAATGTTGCTTATGCGGTGTTGAGGAATTCCTTATTATAGTAAAACCTGATCACAGGTATACTATAGAACAATACCAGGTCTTACCAAAATAAGAGACACCTCAACATCACATAAGCAACATTAAAAAGGTCCATTTATACATGACTAGACTCTATCAAGCTAAAATATATTATAGTAGACTCTACTTTTACTACAATTAATAATCTAACCGATATATGAGGTCATGCCTCGACATTGTATATAAGGTACTGGTTATCAATACAACAGTCACTTTTATTATAATGAACAGTTCATATAAAAACTCTCCTCTTCATAAGGGAGAGTGAGTCAGATATTCTGGTGTGGGTGCGTAATTTGGCGTGCTTAAATTTTCAGCTATACCACGTTAAACAGTACTCAGAATCAAATTATATTAGTATTTCAATTCATCTTATCGGGACGATTAAAATCATATTGTTTTAATTACTAAACTACAAAATAAACAAAGGTCAAATATCATGGTTCATATATTATTCACGTTCATGTGTTCAATTTTTCTTTTAATTTTACTATGTATTTTCCTCATTCAGACAATTTATATGAGGAGAATATAGTAATACAATATGAAACATAGTACCATAATACCTCTAACCTAGAAAAAACAGCAGTTTTTTTTTAAGATTATGAAAATTTAAATTTCAAAGCTTTTTTTTAGTTCTATTTTTTTATTTTTTTTTTTTATCATTCGACAGTAAATCGAAATGTTATTTTATTTTGCTGAATTTTTAAATAAATATGCTTTTCCTGAAAATTTTAATATGTGCAACTCTTATAGCGAATTTAAGAATTATAGGAGGTCTAAGTAGTGATATGCCACATATAGTACAGTACGCAATTTTTTAGAATATTCTAGAACAAATTATAAAACCATTTATATCAAAAGCTTCCTTATGAAACTGCCTTTTGTATTCTGAGCAAGATTACTTCTTGCAAAATTTTGCATATAGGTATTTTATATATTATACGTGTGTTATACATATTGCACATTGTCATGGGTTCTGTGATACAGGATTCAGAAGGGCATAGGAGTTTCATTTTATTTATTTATTTTTTTTTATCTTTTGTTTATTTTTGTAATAATGAATCATTCATTAATTGAGGGACTGGTAATTGTAGTAAATATTTGGGACAAAAATTGTAATAAATATTTAGAACAATAATTGTAGCAAATATTTGAACTGATAATTATGAGTAATGTTTAGAGAAGGCTATTCTATACGGGTTGTTACATCCCATGAAGCATTGCCGGGAAAGCCTTACTAAGGTTCAAAAGAAAGAAAAAGTTTTCGCGCAGTAATTTATAGGATAGAAAAATGTATTTAAAGACCTCAATTTTCCATTAATAAAGTTTTCTCAGACTTTGATGTCTTTAATAAAGTGAATTAAGAATCGATTTCTCGAATGATTAAATACAGTTTTTGTAAATCTTATTTTTATTAAATTATTGTTAATTTAACCCTTCTATTGTTATTACTGTTATATTGGAATTATTCATATTCATTAACTATAAATTAAGTTATTACTATTTATCCTCTATAATTACTCTTATCATCTCATCGTAATTGTTTTCTCAAAATATCAACCTGCGCTACATTATCATTATTTAACTCGCACATCCTTAAAGTGTTTATATTGCATCTTGCATTTGAAATTGAACCCTTAAATCGATCGTATAATCCTCGATTTGGCCTGATAGACTAGCTAACTAATTACATGACTTATTTCAGCATCTACTAGTGCCAAAATACATACATGAACACATTAGCGTTAACGATATTGATATCGATCGATATAATTAGTAAACTTTAATGTTACTGAACATGTGATTAGTCAACCTCAAAGATTAAACGCTGCATCTTGAGATTGTTCTTAAAGCAATATTAGAAAACAAAAAGTTGTAGAAAAGTAGTGATTTATTTTTTAATAATAATATTGAGACAAAGATTCAAAAAATTACTTTCATATAATACATAAAAACAAAAATATACTCAATTACTATTTACACTTGTTCACATCTTTTTATCATTATAATATTCTAAAAGTTTTTTTTCGCTCTCAATACACGAATAACAAAATTTATCATCTTTAAACTTTTTTTTTCCACAAAGCACAGATCAAATTCGCTTTTACAACTCAATTTACTTTTTCTGTACAATACTGCAATAAGATGATCTTCTCTCACATCTTCTATTAGGTAATTCAATTAAAAAATAATCAAAAATTTCTAAAATCTTTTTATTATATTGTTTCAGATATTTTTCACTAGTATAGTATAAGTATATATGACTGAATACATAAGGTTCATAATCAACATTGATTTCATAATCACTTACATCTATATAATTTTTGTACTCTAAAAATGAATAAATTCATGATGCATTAAAATAAAATCAATTCAACTGTATATATTACTCACATAACATACTTCAGATCATTAAAATTCATCAAAACTATAAAGATATGTTTCTGGATATTTCTTTATATACTGTAATCTTTATAAATATAAAATTTTAAACCTTTAGCATTGATAGTTATAAAATAAGATTGTATTTTTAATTTTTATATAAACTTGAAATCACTTTTTTGAATTGTAAATATTATGTGAATGCAAAAATATAGCTTTATATATAGCAAGTAATCAATTAATTAATCATTATGTATTTGCACCAGATACAATTAGAAATAAGATAAAACCAAAAATTTAGAAATTTTTATGCATGATTTTAATGGTTTGATTGGTTACAACTTTGAGAAAAATTAATCCAAAAAAAAAATCGCATGACTCAGCATCATCACATGATTAATATATAAATATTGAATCGATTCCTACCCCAGTTGTATCTCTCGCATTTTGATATATTCATTTCCTGTTTCAGGTCTCAAAAGTCTTGTATTATATTGCTTAAATATAGTATTATTTGGTATATAAAGAAACATTTGTGTGATATTTTTTCTAATATGAAATACTAACCCTAAATATCTTATAATGAACAGACTAAAGAAAAGGATAAAACTTACTAAGAAAACTAAAATAAATAATAGGGTTGAGGATGAAGATTCAGGAGATATATATGACAAGCTCTTCAGAATTTATGATCCAAGAAAAGTTTTCACAGTTGAATTTTTTGCATGGCTTCTTGCTCAAGGAATAGAAACAGATTTTAATGATGACCAAAGCACAAATAATTTCTTTCTCAGAGTTAACAAACTACAAAACAATGCATGCTAGAGATCATATAAAAAAGAGTTTGAAGAAACTCGCAAGATTATTTTTACTTAATATTTTAATATTTTATCATTATAATATCAATGATGAATGAATATTAAACCTATCAAATCAACATTGACAAAGTGATTTACAAGCAGAAGCAAAAAACTTTTTTTTCTCATATTGAGCTGCCCCTACTTAATCTCATTTTTGTCGATAGCAAATGTATTGCCAAATTCACCTGCAGAATTTGTTAAAACTAATGTTTACATGTGGGTGGTTTTGACTTACGCTTTGTAATTTGATATGTTACTCTTTTAGAAAAAATATGTTTCTAAGAATATCTTATTTCTTTAATATAATTGTATTTTATACAAATAATTAATATATTTTTTTTATTTTGAATTCAAGACAGATAGAAGAAAGAGCAACAGAAATGCATGTATAGCTTATATAAATATGATAAAAAATAATGATAAAAAGCTTGTGTCTCATACTTTGGAGTATATTGAACACCTAGAAAATAAGTTGATACCAATAACAAGCTTTGATAAATCTCTCCAGAAAAGATTTATTACTAATATAAGAGCCATTAGTGTTAGTACTTTATTATTATTGACCAGTATCAAAAATTTGGTTTAATATTTAGTAATTATAGATTCAAAAAGATGCCTCGAAATGGACATTAACAGATAAAAATAATATTGAAATTGATATTGTCAAAACAATTTGTCAAAGTATTACTGAGGAAATGATAATAAATCTAGAGTATAATAATCCTTTATTATCATATGTGGTTGATTTTTCAAATCTATCCAAAGAAATCAAAGATGCATTTGATGAGCAAATGCTAATTACAATGACAGCTCCACCAATAAAATTCTATCGAGACATGGATCCTACTTTAGAAAAATATCTTGTAAACTTGTATGAAAACCAACAAGTGTGTAAAAATTTATTTCCACAAGTCAGTGATGCAAGCTCTTTATTTCTGGAACAGTATTTTCTTTGGAAAGCAAGCTGCAAACTGTAAGTGAATAAATAAATAAAATGAATATTATTATATGTTTTATTTTGTATCCTAATTTCAATAATCAGTAAATTTCTTAAGATTTGAGATGTGGAATAGTAATAATTTTAATAAAGACTTCACGACTATATTTAATGAAGGTACATGATAACATTTTGCATTATACTCAATATTTGATATTTTGACTTTACGTTTGATAAATGTGTGTTATGCTAGTATGTAAGAATATGCAATTATTATAATTATCTAACATATTATAAGTTTCTGTGTTTTCTTTTGTGTTTTAGGGGTGAAAGTACATCAAGTGTATCAAAATATCGAAAGACTGAAAATATAAAATTTGAGAAGGAAACTCGTGAATATTTAGATCAAATAATAGCACTGTTTCTCATGTCTTCACAAGCAAAGAAGGCAGATACCTGGATTGAAATAATGATTGCAAAAAATCTTTATGAGATTGTATTTGCTAAAACATCAGGGTCACTATTTCAAGCTACATGCACAACTAAAAAGGTGTATAATGATAAATGTAAATTAATATGCTTTGAGCATGATTTAAAAAATAAAATGCTCAGTGAACTTATTGAGAAGAAATACATATATTTATCTGATTGGAAGAACCTTTGTAATGACATTCATAAGGCTGAATTGTTGTTATTCCAAGCTTATGGTAATTGGGCTTTATATGTTTCTCTAGTATCGAATCCTGTCTCTATTGGTTTAATTTTTGGCATTACTAAACACATTTGTTTCAATATTTTAGAAGCAAAGCTCAAAGTTAGTGTCTTAGATTGTCCAGCACATCCTTTTTGTCCCATGCGAGAATTATTTAACTTAGATATTCTGTATAAAAAAGTAGCGATAGAAGAATTTAAGTTATTTATTCAAGATTTATAGGCAATCAGATATACACTATCTGATATTATTTATGACTATGAAAAAATAGGAGAAAGATTGTTAAAAGATTATAATAAGATTGCTGGTTCAGGTCTGTATAAAGTTAATTGTGAAGTACGAGGCTATCAGTCACACCCTTCTCCGTAATGGAAAACAATTTTTTTTAGTTATCTTTGAAAATTCTTCTTAAATATAATTAACAAAATTATATAATAAAATCTCTCATTACAATAATTCAAAGTTAAAATCTAAAGAAACTTTAGATCTTTTAGATAAAAAATATTTTTTAATCAAACTTGATCAAGTGCCTCATTAAACCCAAAAAGAAACATTCCGTTTCAGTAACTTTGAACTTTCTGTCACATGTTTTAATAGAAAGTTCAAAATTAATTTTTAATTGAATGCATAAAAAAAAACGTAGTTTTTGTTCAACTCTTACAGATAAAGTATTCTTAGTTTTAATTTAGAAAGATAAAAGATAATTTTTCTTGAAGTAAAAATTTTGAAATAAAATTTTTTATAATAAAGAATGAAGACTTAATTGCTGATAAAAATGTAATTTTTGATAAAATAGGTTCTAAAAAAAATGGATGCCTCTATCACTATATATTACTCTTTTTATTATAGTATCACAGACCCACAGGTCTGTAATCATAGCCGAAGGGGTTGAGAGTCGATTATATTGTGCATGTATATTTTGTGAACAAAATATCACTGTTTAAGAAAAAATATACAACAATATACTTCTAAGATTTTTTTTGTGATAAATTATTAAGTTTTATAATTAAAATAATTAGTTTTATTTTGATTAAAGTTATTTTTTTAATTCTGCAAAACAATTCAAATCAATCACACTTTGGGACTTTTGTAAAATTAAAAAATATATTTTAGAATATTTTGAAAATAAATTTGGCAAAAAAAATTCAGAATTAGGATTAATTTAAGCGAATTTGAGGAGTTCGCCAGAGTGACCCCCAAAAGTCTGGATCAGGTAATCTGCGCCATAGCCACTGCATAATTTCTTAGAAAATTATCGAATCATTTATCTCCTGTATGCAGCTTTATTGTTGTGAAAATTTCTTAAATACAACAAAGCAATGTACGTACATACATACGTAATACTCTTATTAATATATAGCTGTGGTGCGGATCACCTGATCTGGACTTTTGGAAGTGAACTCGAATTTGAGTATAAATTTGGGAAAATTAATTTGGGCAAAATTCGATTATAAATTTTTACAGAATTAGAGTTTAATTAGACATAATACGCATAATACGTACCGCCAACATGAAAAAAAACAATTTTCTTACCTTTCTTCACATTTTTATAAGATAACCTTCTTATCAAGATATATTTCACAGAAAGTTCTTGCTCGTGTGCATCTAACAAGCTATTTTTCACGTCAGGATTTGAAAACTTCAAAAAAATTATGCGAAAGAAGGCAAAATAATTGCCCATCTTTAAAGGGGTCGCGCATAACTGAGTAACGTTAGTTTTTTATATTCTTTATATTATTTGATTCGTTAAAGCCCTGTCAACTTGTTTGTTTTAAGGAACGTTGTGTGTTATGACTAAGACATTCAGTGAAAATTTTAAAAATGTGATTTCGTCGATTTGTGTATTTATGATAAAAAATTAAATGTGACATCTCAATCGATGCTGTATTATTTCGTACATAATGTTACTGTTTCGAATATAAGAAAAGGAAGGATCTGACTATTTATATTTTAAAATTAAAAAATAGATTATATTTTACCTTTAAATTATATTACATGCAATTTTATGTGCTGTGCAAAAGTTACGTTTTAATGCATTATATCTATTAAAACCAAAAGAATAACTTCAAATCTTTTGTAACGTGACAAAAGTTCAAAGTTACTCTCGATTCTAATAAATAATATCTGACAAGCTTTAAGCTCGCTTTCAAAATATTAATAGCCAAATGGAGTAATAAAAAAAAAACATCATTAGTTAGACTTATATTAAAATTACACTTGTAAAATGAGTGTTATTATTTTCTATGATTTACTATCACTATAGAAGAAATCATATTTAACTAATACAGAAACCACAATAATTAATAATAACATATAATTATAAAAAATGATTTTTTCTTGTTTACACTCTATTCTAATTTGATTTTTTTTCACCTTAATTTGCTTATTTTCAATTTTGATTTGATCATTTTTAATTTTATATATAAACTTCTCCTGACGTTCAAGTATCTCAATTATCTCATCTATCTTTTCTTCTATCCTATAAATTTTTTTCCCTGACAGAATTATCTTTTAATACTTTAGACAAGTATTCGGGAATGTTCTGACACAGATCATGTATGTTGGTTAATAATAAATAGTATTCTGATGATTTGGCTCTTCCCATAACACTACTCGAATAACTATCCTTTGCTGATATAATGTAAATTCCGATTGTAGTTTGCTTATCGAACCTTGATATAACACTTTTAAAATCTCAGATATAATCAACTTCGATTTTGTTAATAAGATCTTTGCATTGAAACAATAATAAGTAATGATTATGATTGCCGAGCATATCTATGCCACCATCACCTCTTGATAACCTATAAAAAAAAAAAAACTGTAAGTAATTTGTCATCATTATTGTCAAGAAAAATACTCTGGAGCCAATACAGTCATATATTCATGCATCCTATTCACCACAGACTCAAGTGCAGCTTTTCGGATAACAGATAAAACAGAGAAAGACATTCACAAGTAATTATTACTTGGCTCTTGTAACATCCCCTGTGGCCACAGTGTGCTTCCGGTTCTCTGCCTATTATATCATCCTAGTGGTAGCATAACTTTAAATGCATAACGACTAAACAATCACTTAGTGATATAATTATCTCACCTCACCCTTTGGCAATCAATCTTTATTTTATTTTTAACCAATCTAAAAACTTTAATTTCGAATCCGTCACCTTTAGAAAAAGAAGTAATGGAGTTATTAGAATGCTTCATTGCTGGTAAGAAAATTTAAAATATTCAATTTTATTTTTTTTTTTACCGATATATCTTATATTCATTCCCGAAATAAGCCTTATATCTTATAAAAAATGATAAGGAATTATTTGAAAAGAAAAATAAACACGCACTTTCATTTACAATTTAGTAATTAAAAATTCCAGAGTAAGAAAACTTAATGTAGATCTATACGTAACATGGGGTGAGAAGTTTATTTAATTTTTCGATGATAACGAGTTGTTGGGGTTTTCCATATACTAATTAATCAAAACCATGTGAGGTGCATTAACAATGATATTATAGTTAGATTTTATGCATAAAAATTGATCAGCAAAATCACAAAAATTTATTAACGAAAGATTAGTACTCAAAAAATTAGTTCACCTCATGTAGAATCAATTTTTTTACTATAATTTTTGTGACAGACGACTCTTAAAGCGTAAATAAAACAAGCTATAGTTTAAAATTTTTAGTCAATTAGACATTTTTAAGCATTTCATTAGCAGAAATTTGTCTTTTGTTCTTATTCAACATTTTTAACCAGAAATAATTACGTTTGTTGATGATTTGGCCTTTGTTACTAAAAATTTTGCTCTATAGTTTTAAAATAAGGCTTATTATTATATTATATATCGAATTTTGTCAAAAAATTCAGGCTAGTTTTAGTGCTGAACCCTTTTAAAATATGACTTTTGCTGAAAATATATATAACAGTACATTTAACAAAACAAAAAATAAGCATTTGTCACGAATTGACTTTTGTAATTGTGCTTGTTATAAATTGGCCTTTGTAATTGCGTTTGTTAGAATCGACTTTTGTAATTGCATTTGTTACTTTTGTAATTGTTTATAATATTGTCAAGTTATTAAAAAAATAAGTAATTGTTTTAAATTGGCTTTTTAAATGGCACGTCAAAGTGAATTTCAAAAATTTTTGTAAATTGTACCTTTTCATATCGAATTCTTTTTGCACAATGCCTAACTCTTCAAAACATCAACTTCATCTTAAACATGCACGTGAATTGCTCGACAAAAAGCGCAAACTAAATCAGCATCAAGAAACTATTGATGAAATAACAGATCACTTAAAAAAAACCACTGATCAAGAACTTAAAATAATCTATGATACGATCTTTAATGATTCGAATATTACACTTGATTCTTCTAAAACATATATTACAGTAGTTAATACTCTTAAAAATATGTCAGAAATAGATCTCAAATTGATATCACATCTTTTACGCACAATGAGATATCCGCATGGAAAAATAAAGATCAAATCATATCATCCTATATACAAAACAAAGCAATTCAATATGTCTCCAATTCCCTTTATAAGCCCAGAAAGTCATTAGAAGCATTAAATGATAAAAACAAACAACTTAAAAAAGAAAATAAAAAACTACAACAATCTAAAGATTGTGCGACCTATAAAGTTAGACAACTTAGCGGTTCTATCGTGCAGTTTAAGTGTAAACATCACCATTATATATCTTGAAAAGCAATGATTTAAAAACTATAATTAATAATTTAATAAAACAAAATAAAAAGGAGTATAATAAAGATTTATTAATCTTACTGTACAAGTTTCTCAAATTGGCCAAATGTCTTAATACTGCGGCAGAAAGTATAAAGACAGTTTTTAATTTTTAACAGGAGATGATACCCAGTCGCTTGGTGTAAATACTGTCAGCCATTGGTATCACGAAGTGTCAGAACTGCATGTAAGAAATGCATTTCAGCAAGCTAATCATTCGTCTCATTTTTCATTTGGAATTATGGCCTACGAGTTAGGTCGGGGTGAAAAAAAAATATTAGTAGAATGTTTTATGTTTTGGAATTCAAAAAAAAATATACCTGACATCGTACTCTTGGAAACAAAGGACCTTCAACACTACAACTCTGACACAGTTAGTCAGGCTCTTTTTGAATCTTGTAAAAAATATAACCTTGATACTAGAAGATGTCTTACCTTTCTTTTTGATAATACCAATTATATGAGTGGTCATACC